TACGGGTACGTAGCGTTGCGCGTTACGTCACCGAGGAGGGGTGGGAGGGGAGCGCTGCGTTACCGCCACGCGCCTGTGGCCTGAGTTGCCACGTTGCTGCTGGGTAGGGAGGGGTTCTCCGTTGCGCAACATGTTACACTATGTAAAAAGAGAGATTACACAAGAAATTATGTTAGAAATAGCAAAACATTGAATTTCCTGCAGTCTGCTAATTTATGTCTGCCTGAGACTTCTTGTCTTCTGGTCATTTGGAAAATTGTCTTCACAAAAAATATTTCTACTAAAATTTTAATATTGATTTTAATATCAATTAGCTCTTAAAGTTGAGGGGCCACATGTTTTACACGGCTGCATTAGATGCAGGTTATGTGAAACTGGGCTTGGTGTCATGGGTTGGTTTTGTCTGCTGTAGTGGCCTTCACAAAATGGACAGCAAGTGCTGTTGCCAGAGCTGACAGCAGCAGCAGTACTAAAGCAGACACATCTCCTCAGCTGGGCCAAACCTAAATATCCAACTTTGATTCTGCATATCAGGATGGAGCGATATAACTGAATTAACAGACATTTGAATGCTCTTATGTGTCAGGAGCCAGCTGGGCCAAACCTAAATATCTAACTTTGATTCTGCATATCAGGATGGAGCGATATAACTGAATTAACAGACATTTGAATGCTCTTATGTGTCAGGAGCAAACTGGAAGTTTGCCATTTTCTAAGCAATGTTCAAGAAATCAATAACAGAATAATGTAGTGTCATCAGGTTTTAAGAATGAAGGAACGTAGAATCCCAGAGGATGACTTGAAGATGAAACTAAAAGTAAAACACCCATGAGGAAAATCAAGCTGAAGATGGTGACAACAGGTTAGGAACTATGTCACACAGAATTAAGGAAGCATATGGACAGAGGCTGCAGATCTCATTTAAAGCTTGGGCTGTGTTGTCATTTCACTTCAGAGCTTGTGCGGCTGCAATATGTTTCAGAATGTGGTGAAAATAAGGAGAAGTTGCCCCTGTGTATAAGCATCACAGTATGAAGGTGGCATTAGATAGAAGATTGGATAGAAAGTCTGTTTGGGCCCCCAGAGCCTGTCTGAAGAGGCAGTGGAGAAAAGAAAATTTGTGCCCCTGTAGCCTGTGGGTAGTCATTGTACTGGCTGGCTTGCCCCCAGCTTATTCAGAACTAAATGAGATAACACATTTTGTTTTTGTCTTTGGGGGTTTGATTGGCAGTTGAGTTTGAGAAAATGCATAAAGTGGAAGTTGTATGCGTACTCATGTTGAAGATGCTGATGCTTGGCCTTCTTGTTCTCTGTTCACTTTATTCATTTTGTGCTAAGAATGCTTAATATTCACATCCTTATTTGCTACATCTTTCATCTGAATTATTTATCTTTCCTAAATTGTATTTAGGGATTTGTATAATTTAGGCCAAGATTCAGTTTGACAGTACATAAAGTATTGCAGATGGATCCTGCTGAAGCTCTAACTTTGCATCTTAACACAATGAATTCCTTGCATGAAGTTCATAAAATGAATATATGATGGGGGTTGTGTCCATGTGCTTAATCTCCAAAACGACTCAGTGGATTTAGACAAAATTTATTATTGGAAGGTGCAATAAATGTTGTCTTGCTTATTTCATTTTGGTTTGTATCAGTTTTTTTTTTTATTTCTAGTGGGGTGGGACTAAGTCCCGTGTACTGTGGCCACTTCTGGCCTATTGTACCAGCCCCAGATGATAGGTGAGAGTGATTGTGGAGCAATTGGTGGAATGAAGATTGGCAGGGGAAACCGAAGTACTCAGAGAAAACCTGCCCCAGTGCCACTTTGTCCACCACAAATCCCACTTGACCAGACCGGGGATTGAACCCAGGCTGCCGCGGTGGGAAGCCAGCAACTAACCACTTGAGCTATGGCGCGGCCCTTTATATCAGTTAGAAGTCCTACTTTACATGGAGCCCAAATTGAATTTTATTGGATTAAAAAAAAGCCTTCCATACAAACATGTTGTACACAACATAAAACACAAGTGTTATTAGTGTTTGGAGCATTTCTTGATATATATATTTATATTTATATTCCAGAAGACAGTACTGTTTGTAATCACTGCTGTGAGAACTTTAAATTCAGTCTATTTATTATCTGTTTTCTTAATTCCCACCTGTGGTAATGAACTGTCATAAAGGGCAGGTTCTATGAAGAACTAGAACACGTATTTGATAAATTCCCAAAGTACACTATGAAAGTTTTGTTAGGAGATTTCAATGCCAAAGTAGGGAGGGAAGACATTTTCAAACCAATAATTGGGAATGAGAGTTTGCATGAAATTAGTAATGATAATGGAGTTAAGAGTAGTAAACTTTGCCACATCAAAAAATCTTACTGTCAAAAGTACAATGTTCCCACATCGTAACATCCATAAATTTACTTGGACATCTCCTGAAAGGAAGATACACAATCACATTGACCATATTTTGATAGATAGGAGATGGCATTCAAGCATACTTGATGTCCGATCATTCAGGGCAGCAGATTGTGATACTGACCACTATCTGGTGATGGCAAAGGTTGGGGAAAAACTGGCAGTGAGTAAGAAAACAATGGAGAGGTTCCATCGCAAGAAATTAAATGAGGTAGAGGGTAAAGAGCAGTAATGTGTTGAAATCTCAAATAGGTTCGCAGCTTTGGAAAACTTGGTCACTGAGGTGGATGTTAATAAAGCTTGGGAAACTATCAGAGAAAATATCACAATTTTTGCCAAGGAGAGGCTAGGTTATTATGAACTGAAGAAGCATAAGCCATGGTTCAATGAAGGATGCTCAAAATTACTAGACCAAAGAAAACAAGTTAAATTGCAGTGGTTACAGGATCCAAGTGAGTTAAATGGGGATAATCTGAACAATATAAGACGTGAAACCAGCAGGCATTTCGGGAATAAAAAGAGGGAATATCTGAAAGACAAAATTGATGAGCTTGCAATGAACAGTAAGAACAAGAACATTAGAGACCTGTATAGAGGAATAAATGACTTTAAGAGGGGTTACCAACCTAGCAGTAACTTAGTGAAGGATGAGAATGGTGATCTGCTTACAGATTCCCACAACATTTTGAATAGGTGGACGAACTATCTCTCAGTGATTGAATGTACATAGGGTCAGTGAAGTTAGGCAGACAGAAATGCATACAGCTGAGCCATTAATACCTGATCCTNGGGGATCATCAGTGTGGGT